GTTAACCATTATTACATGTACTTCCATTTCCAATCTCTTTTCATTATACCTTATCACCTATTTGACGTTCCTTTTTCCTTTACGTGCGGATAAGTATCGTGACACGCTAACAACTCCATTCAGATCGAGCTTAGCCAGGGTCTCTTCCCAGTTCTTCGCTACTTTGGTGTGTGCTACACTTGACGTCCTCGGCCGCTACACTCCCACTGACTGCCTTGGATTTGCCATCACGGCGAAACCCGAGTTGACACAGCCGACCGGTGGCCAGCGCGAGCAAGGGACGCCCACAGTGAGTAAACTGTTAAAAGATCACGTGATCGGAGCGCGCACTCGTAGAAAGCCACCGAAAATAGTACATCGAACGCCTGACTCGCCTGCTAAACCGCGCGCGCCTGTGCTGCGCTCCTGTACCAAAATTCAAATGACTGTCGCCCTGAACAACTATAGAGGGTTCGTGATGGGATTGGGGTGTGGTTTTACACTTTTCGTACCTTAAAACTCCCTGGATATTCCGAATCGAGGGATTTCCAGGACGTCTGTTCGACTAACTCTCGGAATGTACGTCTGTAGAATGGCGCAAATTGAAGAGCTGTTCGATTCTGGCTAAAAAGCGAGTCTGATGCATTTAGAACATTGCGTCAATAGATTAACATTTCACTTTGACCCAACTACGAAAAACTCGGTGCCTCCGTGGGATTCGAACCCACGACAGCAAGGGGAAGGCATTAGTACAGCCAACGCGCTAGCCACCTGAGCTACGAGGCCCCACCGGACGACGCGAGTTTAATTACATTTGGGTCAAGTTTGCCCGCCCAACCTACTGCAACGTTTGCGTCCACCAAATCTGATACAGTAAGTTGACTGCCCAAGCAGGATTTCCTAAGTAATTCACCTAGAATCCACCAGATGACTATCAGGATCATGCAATTCACAGGTGTTATTCCAGCTTTAAAATAATTCACTTTGACCCAACCGTGAAAAACTCGGTGCCTCGGTGGGATTCGAACCCACGACAGCATTTCTCGAGGCTTTGTACTTTAACACAAGGAGTATGGGTCGTCACGTTGATCCGGACGATCAACACTAAGATATGCGTACACGACTCACTGATTACCCTCGTCCACCCTACGACAGCAAGTTATGGTCGATATCCAGTCATCTGAAGTCTCACTAAACCGCCATTCTGCTCTTACGACACGGGGAACCCTAATCGAAGAGCCCACATCCGGCACCTGTCGTAAGGCCCTCCCTGATTCCACTCACACAGACGTCCAACCTGTTGGTACAACCCCTTTGCCACCGAACTTTCTACTGCAACAATCCCGCCCCTCATTATTCAGCTTTTTTAGCGAACGGGCTTGCACCAGAAGCTTGATAATTCACTAAAACAACTCGGTTTTTTTCTATGACCTTCCACGTTGCAGTTGTACAGTGGCTCCCCATCCGTTGCTGAGGTTGCATAGCCGTTGAACGACAATACCCTGTCGAATGTATCAACTCGGCGAAGGTCCCGCGCGGAGAAGCAATATAGGTGGCACCATCTAGGCTGGTTATAGCAAGCAAGATCACGGCCTTGGTAAGCAATCCTAAGCCATACATTGACTATCCTCACCAAAAACGCAACGACTAACCTGGTGGGTAGTCCTACTTCGTCTTATTCTGCCACTAGGTCTCATCTGCGACTCCGCGGAACCGTTTTTAGCATTGCGGCCACATTCCGGTAAATCTCCTCGACCGACGGGTCAACCCGGGTGAGGACGATCGGTGCGCGTGTGTTTCCACGCCCAGTATCTCTTTTACTAGTCGTCACATTCCTTCCTTAGCCCCGCATAAAAAGCTCTACGGAGGGGGCGACATTCAATCCCATAGGTGACCCTGGCTAATTTGGGCCATTTTCCTACCACAACAAGGTCGCTAACCTCAGTGAGTTTCGGCAGCCGTCTGGGATGACTCATCAGCCCTATGTAGGGAATCACTGCTTACCCCTTCGCATGGATAGGAGCCTGTGAGCAGAAGAAGTTCTCAGGGTGTGGTAGCTGCACTGAATACGGTGAGGAAGAGGTTATTTGCTCAACAGTTCGAACCTCCACTCGAATGAGTCCTTAAAGTAAAGAGCAAGTTTCCAGTTAAAACGAGATTTAAACACACTTCCGCAGAGAATCGCCTTCAGTCGTGACATTGACTTGGTTCCACAAAGCCTGGTCTCGGAGGCAGTTAGTATACCTGTTGAGTGGGCCGTTTTTCAACCGTGTAGCGGCCGAAGATGTTTAGGAAGACACACTTAATTTGATAAAGCACTCAGGAGAAGTTTTCCGGCTACGGAAACTCCGAACTGAGCCGAAATTCGTCGCTCCAAACATGCTCGTATGAATATAGTAAGAAAAGAGTTGGAAACGTATGAAGTCTGTGTTTCAAGGGATAAGTAGATTGAATCATAAAGAGGGGATACGGCAACATTAAGGAAATAAAGTTACGTAGACAAACGATTATCTGGAATGGGCGATAGGTTCGATATGTCCGTTAGACCACCAGTGGGGAGTGCGATGCCGGGGTCAACTGTAGGGGGGGGAGTCGTGGGATGTTCTGACGTCGAACAAGAGACAACAGGATCTGCAGCGCGTATCATTTGTGGGGGAGGAAGGCAGCGACCTCTTCACCGACACATTATCATACCGTTCCCACCCGTTGGTTCGCACCAAAAAGCAACTTCAATCTGTTTAAACAACCCGGCCAGATTTGTGATACTTTACAACTGCCACACTACGTGCAATTGACACGAAATTGGAGCACTCGAATGGTTAAGTATCGTCATTCGCCCGAAGTCTAAATCGTGGTTTGATGAGAGCAGGTGAACAACCACCAGCGACATGTAGTCTTCATGTCCCACATAAAATGTCGATTAACGCATCCGCGGCAGTCTTCACCAGCACTCATCCACTTTGTTGCAAAGACGTTCGGTCTGGCAACCAGTGCCAGCTGTTAGATAAATTCGTAGAGAGTCCTTTCAAAGCATCAGCTGTTGGCCATTACCTGCCACCTATCTTTGTGCGACTCCAATCACACATTGGCACATTTGACAAATTCCTCGGATGCCCTAACAGCATAGGGATATGGTGCGACAGCACTTTGCTTGACACTGGAATACCCACCACTAGTTTTCCTTCCACATTCATTAACAAAATTGTTTGGATGTGAGTTGGCAATTAAGGGTTTTCAAAGGCATTGAAGTCCGCCTCTTTATCATCCGTCTGCCTCCCATGCGTATCAATATGTTGACAAAGGGAATTTATGCTGCGGCAGGCTACAGTGGGCGCGTCCCATAAATCTTTGACCCCTAGACGGAGGATACACCCTAGATGCTTCTGTGCTTACTTGTATGCTTGTGGACTGTTCGTGGTGTTTGGTGACGGGATACACCGTTTAGAAGTGACAGGTCGTTCAGCCAGCCTGGTGCACGTAGTGGACGTCCCGCGCGTGCCTTAACTGGCACCCAGCTCTCGAATGTGGGGCTGCTCGAAGCCATGCTCTGCTTAACGGCCACGTCGCGTCACTAGTTTCGACAGGCGGGCTAAACCAGATGAGGGTGTCTGGTGTATCCGTGTGCGCGCCTCCATACCCGGTAGTCTTGTCCCCGTCCCACCCGCGCAGTGAGCAACAGCGATACTGTAGGCAGCCCAGACTAATTCGAAGCATCTTCCCACTAAACATAAACACTGATCCACTGTGGAGTGCGGCAGTCCTATTTCTGACAGCAATGTTTGCCCCTAGACTAAGTGTCCTACACTGCCTTTTCAAGGGGACACAGCAAGTGAACTAGTAAGAAGACGTCTGAAGACAGCGATCACTAGCGTTTTGCCCGCGGTGAACTTACGTGTATGTTTCACGAGCTCTCCACTCCTACGCTTGGGAGGTAAAGACCGACTACCGTTGCAGGCCGCATCAATGTGTATTTACTCATTCACTTGCTCCTGTGGAGCGGGATACAGTGGCCGTACAACGAGGCGCCTGGAAAAGACAGTACGTGAACACATACGGGTCTGGCTAGGCAGAGGTGAAAAAAAGTCGATCTAGAGTTCTATTCTCGCACATCATGTCGATACGAATCCCCGAGTCGATGCCAAAGAAGCCTTTCAGCTCGTCTACCGGACACCAGCAAGCTTCTCCAGAGGCCTACGCCAACGGGTGCTAGCTACAGCCGAGGAAGTGGCTATACGGCTAGCCAATCCAGTACTATGCTGTCAGAAGACTCTGACACAGGCGCTTTGCCTTCCGTAGCCAACGTCGATCCCAACGTCGCCCCAACCTCCTGATGGCAGTGGTGTGTGCACAACGTACCCGACGTACAAACATTACTCACAGTCTATGTGCCCCCTCTCCCTCGCCCCCTTGACTCAATGACCATGACACGCCGACCACGCCATAGCAAGCCTCGTCATGCGAGTGGCGTGGGAACGATGGGTGTAAATAGTCCCTGAATCACTTATAAGCTCTGTAACTTCGCATAATTTAGACTTCTATGTAACCGTTTTGGCCTGATGAAGAGTTACCGAAAACACGTGTTTGCCAAATTCACTTTCCATATACCGGATAATCAAGCTGTCTACAAGCTAGCCACTGCGCTCGCACTCAAAACATACAGTCTTAACACTACAACAAACAACAACCACCCCCGTCCCTCTCAACAGGCCGCTAGAATGACCTTCTTCGCTCTAGCGGCCTGGAATGGCCGCTCCATTCTAGGTAGTCCAGTGTTTAACTGGCCGAAAATAATAGCTCACGTACCTCGATAACTGGTCGGCTACAAAGTGGATAGTTCGGCTCTCAGCAAAAATCCACTCACCAAAGGGAGACAATTAGATGAGGTAATAACCGGATACGCCTTCTAGAGGTGATGTCCAAAAGCAGAAGGACGGGATGCTGGGGTCGACTCTGTCGTCAAGAACGACATAATGAGACAACGGCCCTGTCTGCCGTGGGGCACCAAAGGCCGTCTCATGACCATGCAATTGCGTCTCCGCGTCAGTGTCTACGCACCCCCAACAGCCGGTTCCGATGGTGTGAAGACCAAGTCCTACAAAGGCCTACACGCCCTCCTAGAGACTTTCTCGAAGGCGAACGTATTGGTTGTCTTCGACGACTTCAATGCCCGTTTCGTCACCGGTCACGCTACCTCAGGGTGTATGCTTGATCATCCCGGAATCGGCAGCTACATCAGCAATGGTGCTCTCCTCCTGAAGGCCTCCACGGAACACAGTGCTCTCCTAACCAACACCTTCCTCCACCTCACGGTGCAGAAGAAGGCAAAGTGGAGGTACCCCCACTCGTGACATCCGTTAGACAAAAACTCCGTTCGGTGACATGACGTGATAGTGAACAAGACACGGCAGACCGCCGATTAGATTTTGGCAATCGCCCGAATCCCCGCCTGGAAGAAGGGTGATTTGCCGAAGCGGGTACCACTGTTGCGACGTAATGGGATCAACTGTGAAACCCATCCACTCCACTGCTCTGGACGTCCTCGGTTGTGCACGCCGTCAGCAGCATGAGTGGTTTCACGACAACAACGAGGACATCCGCAATCTGCTCTCCAATACGAATAGGCTACACATAAAAGAAGCCAAAGGCACGATCACTGGAACTGTAGCTTTATTGGTCATAGCTTTCGAACTCGAACGGAAGTTCATCATCAGAGACTGTTAGAGCGCAGCAACGTGTGACCATTTATACCGTTGTACCGTGAGAGGGGGATTTGTCCGTGGCTAGGTCTGGTTCGTGCTGCACGGCCCTCAATGGTCCCCCGGCGTGGTGACGGCGTTTGTCCCTCGGGGCGATGTGAGCTGGGGCACCTGGTTGAGTGGGCGTAGCGCGTGCTAACACGCAGGCAAGTCAATTTGTCTATTGATGAAGTTGGTGTAGGCCACCCACGCCTCCAACAGTTCCCGCCCCGTCTTGTTGCCATCCCGCGCCAATATCTGCGTGTTGGCGAAGTCGAACTCATGGCCTTCCGCTAGCGTGTGAGTGGCGACTTGAGATGGTGGGTCGCCTCTCCGAACGGTCCGTTTGTGCTCGAGTATTCGTGAGCTGAGACGTCGTCCCGTTTGGCCTGTATAGTGGCAAGGGCAGTTATGGCCTTTATCTTCCTTTAAACAAGAACCCGGGATGCGCATATGCTCTTTCAATCGTGAGGCTACACACAAAAAAAAATAACGTCAACCACAGAACTGAGGTCCAATAGCGGCTTTCTTTTGATGTCGAAGCCTGGCGCATTAACGACTGAGGGAGATATAAATTTCCCTGGATGATCCACAGGGCTGAATAAATACAGTAGGTGGGCTAAGTCATGAAATGTCAACCGAAATTCCGAAATGAATTTTCGATTCGAAAAGACTATTTAGTTAGGGTTGTAAAACTGACCATCATGAAGCATTCTTCTACAACAATCCAGCTACCCCAGGATGTCAGCTTTTGAACGAACTTCTTTTCGGCTACACCCAGAAATTATACTCTGTAAAAAAGGACTACTCAAGAAGCATGCATTTTGCTCATTGATTTTCGATGCCCCTAAAAATTTAATTATATTTCTTGGGAAACATGCATAAAATTATTCATTCTTTTGCTCATTCAGTATAAGATTACGTCTTCGACCAATCTGATGCTCGAAGAAAGGGCATAATTCGATTTTAAAAAGTTTCTAATTGTGAGATTTTTTAATACCACGAAATGTCCGTTCATAAAACATCGTGACTCTAAATTTACTAAGGCTGTTTGCAAAGTTTACAATCAGGCTCAAATCCACTGCTAAATTTTATGAACCCTACATAGTATCCTCTTAATACGGTAGAGAAATGTATGGTTTTCCGTACGCGGAAAATATAGGGTTTGTAGTTTGGGAACCCTGAATGCATGTGTAACGCCGACTCGGATTCAAAATTATTCGGGTCGAAGACGTAATCTTATACCGAATGAGCAAAAGAGTGAATATTTTTATGCATGTTTCCCATGAAATATAAATGAATTTCTAGGGGTATCGAAAATCAATGAGGAAAATGCATGCTTCTTGAGTAGTCCTTTTTTACAGAGTATAGTTTCTGCGTGTAGCCGAAAAGAAGTTCGTTCAAAAGCTGACATCCTGGGGTAGCTGAATTGTTGAGAAGAATGCTTCATGATGGTCAGTTTTACAACCCTAACTAAATAGTATTTTTGAAACGAAAACCCATTTCGGTATTTCGGTTGACATTTCATGAGTTAGCCCACTTACTGTACAAGGGTGTGCAAATCATAATGGGATGAGGAACTTCTTCGCGTCCATCAAGGGGATATCCGTCCTCCAAATCATGCTGACTGCGCTGTTGTTCATTTCCGATGGGAAAACTCTGCAGACAGAAAAGTCTCAGGTTGCCTGATATATCATACTCCACAGCACAGGAATCAGCTAAAAGCCCAGACACGTCCTTCGCCGATATTCTGCCCCTGTATGACATGGCTGCGAGAGTTCGCTCATAGGTGGGTCCCTCAGCGTTCATGTGGGCTTTTTCGGTAGATACTCCAGATTTTAAGTTGCCCGGTTTTTAGTTTTCTGAGAAATCAATCGCTAACTTGAAGCAAATCAGATTCTGGTGCGCTGGGCTGGGCAGCTCAAAGGCGCCCCTAAATAGGCCATCCACAATATCTGAAGAAAGCATCAACAAACTCCCTTAAATGAAAACCAAAGCACATCTCGGTCGTCCACCCTCATTGCAATAAAGCAGCAAATCCATACAGCCGTTTTTTAGCGGCAACGAGTAGGGCTCTGGTTTATTACTGGCTGGACTTTAAGAGCTTTACGACCCTCAGCTCGTGGAGAAACTCACTTCACTGGGAGTATGGACCTCTTTGCCCACGGCAACACGAACTTCGCACGGAGGAGACGGTGGCCAGGTGTCAACCGGTACGCGAGTGCAACTACCTGATCATGATAACGACTCCCCGCTTGTCCCCATGTTTCTGCCGGTCTATTCTAAGAGCACAGTTTGTCTCATATTGAGGACGAACGTATCACCGCGTATTTCGTGGCTGATTAGCTTTACTGTGGGGCTTGCCTAAGCTTAGGGATCGATGCTCTGTTCCCGGTACAATTATTCTTTCCAAGTCATCGTACCGTCTGGCAGAGAAAAATTATGTGTGGGCGATTTGGCTGTGGAAAGAAAGTAGGGCAAGGCACTGGGTGTTTGGATAAGTCCACAACCAATTCCATGCTATAGCTAGAGAGATATTGAATAGCGCGGAGCGGTCATCCAGCGTTACTAACGATTCCACATAATAAGAGGCCATTATGAGGAGTGTATCGCAAAATGAACATGAATCTGTCCAACCACGAGGAGAGTTTCGAACAAGGACGGTATATAGGCTAGACTGCCTTAAAACAACCAAGCTATGCAACGGCTTTGTAGTGTTCTCCCCAATGGGCCAAACTTAGTAAGGCGGATGAATCACCAGACTGACTGGCGAGCGTGGGTTTGGAGATCGAAAGACGAAAGATGCTGTGATGGAGTAAACAGCAACGGTGGGTTAAGTAACCCCGCCTCTCAACTAAATTTAACTGTCTTATTATTGTTTACGAGAGGGATTGTGCACAAGTATTCTTAAAGAAATAAATAAGTCAGGAGTACGTGTTCGACAACAGAAACCGTTCAGAGATGTCGAGAAAGCCGAGCGTTCGTTTTAACCGAGGCAAAGTAAACCAAAACGCAGCCGGCGATCCTTGCAGCACACATAGTACGGTGCGCACCGACATGGCACAAACAGGTTTAACTACTCTTTTGGGAAAAATAAATAAGTCAACGAAAGGCCGTGTAAGTACATTGGGGTAACTATGAAATCGAGGTTACGGAGAGGGGGAGCGAGAACATCATACCAGATAACTTATACTAAAACAACCCGGTGCATGCAATTATATCAAAGTGTTAGATAACACACAAAGGGAGACTTCCTTTAGCTATGGATTAATAAACAAGGCCTTCTGAAAAAACTATAGTGGTTACCCTATACATGCTCAACCCAGTGGGGTTAAACAACCTATCCTTACCGAGTGAATGTCTCGATTATGTAAGGTGGTGGGGTTCCGTGTATGCTCGAGCAGTCGTTTGGAGAATAAACAAGGGCAGTCTGATTTTCTTAATGGGGACTTCGATTGTTTGCGAAATATGGAAGTACTGTAACTGCATTTACTTCCAGCATTGTAAACCTGTCAAGATCGATTTCCCAGGGTAATACTGCTCCTAATCGTCGATGCCGTACGTTCAGAATTTCAAAAAAATCTATGGCATCAGAAGCCTTCCATGACCAATTGGGTCTGTCCGCCTCAATCATATAAAGCTGGCTTGAAGTTGCTTCAAGGATGACTGCCAGGGCACCGGGTCTTCAAAGGTCCTCTCCGCCCAGGATCACCGAAATAGAAAAAAAAACAAGAACAAATCTCATAAATTTTCCACAGCAGTCAGAGACAGGTGGTTCTACATCATATTATTAAATAATCTAACTTACCAACGAGTGGGAATTTTTAGTGCGTTTAGCGGAAACCCCTTCTACTCTCAAGTGGCGTCGTTTCCTGACTCATTTATGGGTAAAATAAGATAACATGATTTGTGACGTCGTTGCTCCTGCTCAGATTTTTGATGATACCAGCAAACCACACATGACGATTTTTGATGACGGGGGGCAGGAGGACAAAACACTTCTCTGTTGCCGTCTTACATGAAGCTGCTCGCCGAAGCTGTCTTCACTAATATGGACTCTTGGTTGTCTAGTAATCTCCTCTCGTCGGTCCATGGATTCACTAACGGTTTGTGAGATGTTACTGGAGATTTAACTGACTGAGCAAGTATCACTAATTCTTAACTTCATTGTCCTACCGACAAGCTCTATCAGTTACTCTGGAATATAATAAGGTAGTAACATAACTTTATGCGCCTCAACCGGTTGAAGGTCGAAAAATATTTAGGTATGAATGCTATTACCGACAAAGACAAGGAAGACTGGAATGGCCATTTCTGGCTTATTAGCCGTCGTCAGCCAGCCATACCCAAGCCCGAAGTGTGGAACACCCGAGCCTCGAACTCGCGACCTGTTGGTTTAGAATTCCATGCCTCTACCCACCGGGCCACGAGCCCGTTGCCCTGTCGGCTTTCGATCGGGAATATACAATGGTAGGGGGCGCTCACCGATCGTTCATACGGAACTCACTCGTTCCGTTGTGCCTTAATAGCATTCTGCCTATATATCATGCGCCGCTGTGCGGCTGCTGGTTGGGCTCGAGAGAGAGCCCTTAAGGCACAGCGGAACGAGTGAG